CCCCGCAATTAAGCCCCTCAAGATGTTCCCCCAGTCCAGGCACCCCCATGTTTGGGGAGGGGTCTCCCCACATTTCCAAGGGGGTCTCCTCCATTCCCAGAGGTGTTTCCCCCATTTCCAGGGGTCTCCCTCATTCCTGGGGGTCTCCCTCCCCACCTCACATCCCCTCCCCCTCCAGGTGCTCCTCCAGCCTCGGGCCGGCTCCGCTGCCCCCCCACCTCACGCCCCCCCCCAGCGGAAATGGGGGGCACCCCCTCCCCCACAAGGCCTTCTACCCCCCGGGGTAAGTGGTGACCCCAAATCCCCCCAAAATGTGTCACCTGCCCCCCAAAATGTGTCACCTGCCCTCAAAAATGTGTCACCTCCCTCCCAGAAGGGGTCCCGGGTGGGGTCTCTATGGGCCTGAGCCCCCCCCCAAATCCCCATTTTGGGTGGTCTCTATGGGGCAGAACCCCTCCCCCCGCCCAGATGTCCCCATGTCACCTCCTGTCCCCCTCAGGGTCCCCCCTCCAGGCCCCCCCCACCCCCCTGGACCCCTTCCAGAGCTGTGTTTGGGGGTCTCTATGGGGCTGAGCTCCCCCCAAATCCCCATTTTGGGGATCCCTGGTGGGGTCCCTCTGAGCTCCACCCCCCCAGATGTCCCCATGTCACCTCCTGTCCCCCCCAGAGGCCCCCCCCGGGCCCCCCCCGCCCCCCTGGACCCCCTCCAGGGCTGTGTCCGGGCACTGCAGCCCTGGGACCCCCCCGGCCCCGAGGCCACCCCCGAGCTGGAGGAGCCACCGAGCTGCCACCACGGGCGTCACCGCGGCCACCGAGGGGACATCGGCCACCGAGGGGACATCGGCCACCGCCACGGGGGGGACGTCATCGGCGGCCACCGCGGGGACGTCATCGGTGGCCACCGCGGTGACGTCATCGGTGGCCACCGCGGGGACATCGCCGCCCGCATCGGGCGCCTGCAGCAGGTGGGGACATGGAGGGGACATTGAGGGGACATTGGAGGGGTTGTGTCTCCCTGGGCTGGTGCCACCGCGGTGGTGGCACTGCTGGGGACGTTTGTGGTGGCAGTGGCAGGTGGGGACATCGTTCCCGGGGGTGACACTGGGGCATTTCTCATGTCTGGGTGACCCTGAGTGTGTCCCTGTGTCCCTTGGGGTGACCTCAGGGTGTCCTCGTCTGACCCTGAGGTGTCCCCGTGTCCCTTGGGTTGCTCCTGGGAGTGACCCTGAGGTGTCCCTGTGGCCCTGGGGGTGTCTCCGTGTCCCTGGGGTGACCCTGAGGTGTACTCGTGTCCCCAAGCTGTCCCCATGTCTCTGGGGGTGTCCCTGAGGTGTCCCCATGTCCCTGGGGCTGTTTCCGTGTCCTTGGGGGGTGTGTCCCCAAGCTGTCCCCATGTGCCTGGGGATGACCCTGAGCTGTCCCCATGTC